GTATAAATAACTATTTATATTTGTGTACTAGCTGTTTAGAATGTCAAAAAGCCTGTGTTTTTATGGTTATTAACAAAGTTTGTGTACTCAGACCAGTAATATTTGGGGTCACAAGTTTTTGCCATGGGTATTTTGTGGGTCAGAAGATAAAAAGTTTGGGAACCACTGCTGTAGATAACATCAAATTGAAATAAACCGCTCAGAAACATGCCTACTCTTGTTTATTTGGCTCTGCTTCTACAGCAGCATTTTGATCTAATTAAATCGATGGCTATATTTAGATGTATTGTTGAAAAAAAATACACTTTGAACAGAATGTTATCTCTGCAGCCTGGCCACCGGGTGGATTTGTATTATAACAGAGCTTTGAGAAGCAAAAAAAAAAAAAACCAGGAAAAATCTTGAAAACTCATCTCAAAAAGTGTTAGCAACTATTGAATTGATGATAAAAATACTCCAATGATCAATCAAATCAATCAACGTTTTTGCACCTGCAGGTTAATTGAATTACAGTGAAGTGATTTTTAATTCCAACAAACACAAGAAATATGACATGGACATACAGTAGACCCAAAATGATTAAAAAGTGACCAGGTGCTCAATATAAAATAAATACAGCTTTATAAACAATATCAAAATAACAAGAGAAGAGAAGATAAAATCATGTAGGACCACATAAAACCCAATAGGACAAAATAAAACATATTAAAACAAGATGAAATGAGATAAAAATGATCAAATCAATCAATATTGAATTTCTGTTAAATTGAGTTTAAAAAGCTGATTGCAACAGAGACAGAGCTGGTTTTAAAACACTTCGTTTTACATTTTGGCACTAAGTATCTGCGTCCTGATGGGAGGAGCCTGAACTCGCCATGCAGAGGATGAGACACATCTTTCCAAATGCATCCAGACAATCTCTGGACCTGCCTGGAGAACAGGGATTCTGGATTTAGTTGCAACTCTCCTGTCAGTTTACTGGACCACTTTACTATTTGGTTCAGGGAATTCTTGTTGTTTGGAGAAAGACTGCCGAATCAAGACAATAAGCTAAAGGATAAAACCGATTCAATAAAAACACCATGGAGTCAACAGAGTCGTGTCGATGTCAAAGGATGACAGTTTTCTGAGACAGAACAAGCGCTGGTTCCCTTTTTTATAGACAGCCTTAAAGTTTGCCTCAAAAATCAGCTTACTGTACCAAGATATTTCTATGTTTCAGCACATTTCACTGTCTGACCCTTTAGACAAGTCATTTTCTGTGCCTGAGGGTGTTTTCTAAAATCAAAAAGCATATCCTTAGTTTTTTGACTATTTATCTGCAAAGGGGACTCATCACAGTAACCACAGAGCCGTGGCATGTTTCGTTTTCATGAAGCAAACAAATGATGACAGAGTCATCTACGTACTTTAAAATACAGCAGGTAAAATAAGTATTGAACACGTCAACATTTTTCTCAGTAAATATATTACTAGAGGAGCTAATGACATGAAATTTTCACCAGATGTYGGTAACAACCCARATCCATACATACAAAGAAATCAAACCATAAATGTCCAGAAATGAAGTTATTTGTAATAATGTGGAATGGCACAGGGAAAAAGTATTGAACACACTTACTGAAATTTATCTAATACTTTGTACAAAAGCCTTTGTTGGCAATGACAGCTTCAAGACACCTCCTGTATGGAGAAACTAGTGGCATGCATTGCTCAGGTGTGATTTTGGCCCATTCTTCCACACAAACAGTCTTCAAATCTTGAAGGTTTCGTGGACCTCTTCTATGAACTCTGATCTTTAGTTCTTTCCATAGATTTTCTGTTGGATTCAGGTCAGGTGATTGGCTGGGCCATTCCAGCAGCTTTAGTTTCTTTCTCTGAAACCAACTGAGAGTTTCCTTGACTTTGTGTTTGGGCTCATTGTCTTGCTGAAATGTCCAGCCACGTTTCATCTTCATCATCCTGGTAGATGGAAGCAGATTTTTATCAAGAATGTCTCTGTACATTTTTCCACTCATCCTTCCTTCAATTATTTGAAGTTTGCCAGTACCATATGCTGAAAAACAGCCCCACACCATGATGTTCCCACCTCCAAACTTCACTGTTGGTATGGTGTTTTTGGGCTGATGTGCAGTGCCATTTGACCTCCAAACATGATGTGTATTCTGACATCCAAACAGTTCAATGTTGGTCTCATCTGACCAGACTATATTCTCCCAGTATTTCACAGGCTTGTCTAAATGTTGTGCAGCAAACTTTAAAGGAGCTTCAACATGCTGTTTCTTCAGCAGTGGAGTCTTGCGTGGTGAGCGTGCATACAGGCCATGGTGGTTCAGTGCATTACTTATTGTTTTCTTTGAAACAATCGTACCTGCTAATTCCAGGTCTTTCTGAAGCTCTCCACAAGTGGTCCTTGGCTCTTGGACAACTCTTCTGATAATTCTTTTCACTCCTCTGTCAGAAATCTTGTGAGGAGCACCTGGTCGTGGTCGGTTTATGGTGAAATAATGTTCTTTCCACTTCTGAATTATGGCCCCAACAGTGCTCACTGGAACCTTCAGAAGTTTAGACATTCTTCTGTAACCGATGCCATCATTATGCTTTGCAACAATAAGGTTGTGAAGGTCTTGAGAGAGCTCTTTACTTTTACCCATCATCAGATGGTTCTTGTGTGATACCTGGCCATCATTTGGGACTGAACCAGCTGATATTAACTTGCACTGACAAGGGGCAGGCTTGCTTTCTAATTACTGAGAGAGTTCAGCTGGTGTCTTGGCTTTCCATGCCTTTTTACACCTCCCTTTCTTCATGTGTTCAATACTTTTTCCCTGTGCCATTCCACATTATTACAAATAACTTCATTTCTGGACATTTATGGTTTGATTTCTTTGTATGTATGGATCACTTGGGTTGTTACCGACATCTGGTGAAAATTTCATGTCATTAGCACCTCTAGTAATATATTTACTGAGAAAAATGTTGACGTGTTCAATACTTATTTTACCCGCTTGTAAGCCTGCCATCCCTGCTGCTACGGCACATGTTCGTGTAGAGGATAAACAGGAGGGGCGACAGAACATGTCCCTGTGGGGAGCCAATGGAGGAACAGACCTGATCTGACAGAGAACAACTCTCACTCTCACTCTTTGTGTCGTGTTCCTTAAAAAATCTCAACCCACAAGATTAAAACCTGTCAAACTGTTCTAAAAGCCTCTGTACTGAAACGTGAGGCTGAATGGTGTTAAAAGCAGATGATAAATCGATAAATAAAGGCTGTGAATGGGTTTCCTTTCCTTTAAGATGTTTAAAAATCAGGTTCACTAAAGTGACTGCAGTGTCCTCCAGTCATCTGTGTGATCTAAAAGCAAACTGCAGAGGATCCAAATCAATTTCTACTTTCTTTAGGATTTCAGACCTCATCCGTTTCACAAAGGCTTTCATCAAAATAGATGTCAGTGTAATAGGTCTAAAATTTTTAGTGCTTACCGATGAAAAAGCCTTCACTATTTCCATATATTCAATACTAAAATGACAGCTGTCTTCAAGTTTGTGACTCACTTCCTGCATTTCTTTGCTAAAATCAAAAACATCCCTAAAAACATTACTAAACTGGTCTAGACTTTGAAACCTGAAGTGTTTTCTGCTCAGTTACATTTGCATTCACAAGCTGTGACACATTTCCAGCAAACTAGCAAATAAAATTTCTTCAGACAAATCTGGCTTTACTGTAAAGCTGAGTACTTCACGTACATACAGAAGGACATAAGGAGATGCTTTTGTTATTTTTAGACACCGATTTGATGCGTTCAAATAGAAATCTCTGCAGTAAAAGTTGAAGCTGTGTCGATTTAGTTTTGTTGGCTTGGAGAAAGAAAAAAGTGTGTTACAATAAACATAATATACCTGCACCAAATAGTCAACAAAAGTAACTATCTACTGACAGATTCTGAGAAAAAACTGCCCTGTTTTAAGTTTACTTCGATAATCCAAATCAGGACATTCAAAAAATCTGATCCTTATCTGATTATAAGGTAAGACAACTGAAACCTCACACCTGCATTGTTCTGTCATTGTTATAAAAACTCAGGTGAAATACAGAAGCAAAAAATAAAAAGTAGGTACATACTGTAACCCAAGAAATGAGGTTAAGCAACAGCCAGGAAAAACAACTTCTATTTAACCAGAAATTCTGGTTCTTTGCTGATTTGGATTATTTGGTTGAAGGTTAAAAAAATAAGGAAAAAAAAAACAGAAAAAAAAAATCAAATGTTGCTGCCTAATCACCGTAGACAAAGTCATTTTTAATTGAGAAAAATTTGGACCCTTTTATTCTACGGTGTTCACAACTAGAAATCAAGAGTTCCAGATTTTCTAAAGACAACAAGAACACGTTTAGGGTCATTTTGTGCAGTCCACGCATAAATCCCAAATAACTCCACAGACCTCTTCAAAAATGGAACGTCATGATTAAAAAATCTTCACGTCTTGCTTCTGCATTCTTTAAATATTCAAAACTCTAAATCATGAAAAAAGCAGCCACAGAAGGACTATTTCAGTAATTTAATCTAAAATAAGCATAGAAGACAAAATTTTTTGACGTTGAAGCATTTATATAAATAGATCAGGTTATTTAGAAGACCTGTTTTAACAATGATTCGGAAACCCTGGAGGCAAATTATTTTATGTTACTTTGTTTTTTTTCTCCAACACCGTAATTTACTGTAGAACTGTAGCTGAGATTCAACATATGAGTCATAGCCGGAACTCACCTAACCGGTTTGGAGGTCTGACTTGCGTATTTCTCGAATTCACCCGGGACTGTCCATTCTTTGCCGGTCTATAAAACAACAAAACACAAGTACGCAATTATCACACAACGCCTGCAATGAGGAAACCACTGTCAGTCAAGGAGGTGACACGAATACCTTTCCAACCCATGCCAGCGGCTCCAGGTTGAGGGGGGAGGCGTCCGTGCTGAGCCAGAACTCAGAGTTGTCATCAGAGCTCAGAGCGAACACAAATTCTCCTGGCAGAAAGGAGACAAATGAAAGCGAGGCGATTAACACACAGAAGAGGTACAGTATGAACATTATGTGAAAAACTGAAAAAGTCATCAGAATTTCCATCTTTTATAAAAATGCTAACTGAATTATGAGGGTTGAATGTGGCTAAAACCGAATTGTTATAAATAAAAAAGCTAAAACCAGTATAAGAATAGGTAAAAACTAAAAGTAACAAAGGTCAGGCTAAAAATAGAAAGATACTGGCTGAAGGCAGTCAGTGGCTTGCAAACAACTAAAACAGCAAAGGTTAGCTAAAAGTTGAAAGTAGCAAAAGGCTAGCCATGGGCTAAAAGTAGCATAGGATGGCAAAAATATCAAAGTATCAATAGGGTTGCTAAAAACGATCAAAACTACAACATTCACAAACTGAAGTACCATCAGCATATGGATGCAAATAACCAAATATCCTGAGCCCATAGTTGGTCCACTGAGGAGAGACGGCCAGTTTCTGCACCGTGGTTCTGGACTGAAAGAGGAAAGGCAGAGAAACAGAAAATCAGGCTTGTTGTTGGCTCAAAGTGAGAGCATACTGTAATTCACAGGGACACAAGGATTTCACATGTAGATGTAGAATGTGCTCTCACATAAAATGTGTGCATATTTGCAAGTGTGAATGTGACTACATCCGACCATAGAGGAAAAATGTGTTTACCAAGGTTTAACGTAGGGAGCTGTTAAGGTTAAGATATTAAGGTTTTAATTTGGCCTGCCAATATTAGAACAACTTTAAATGTGCAGCATTGTTGTTTAACTCTGCATTGTCAGAACCTTTTTACAATAACTCCATATTTTTTCCTCTGTCTTTAAATATCCTCTGTCAACACTATCATCTAAAACATTTTTTAAAAATACCTGACTGCTTGGGAAGCTAAACAAAAAGAAACAAAACATGTTGCCCACCCCATTTCACATCAAAGTTACTGCTACATATTGGGACGACTCTCGAACCGCCACATCAAAATACAGCTCAATATAGTTAACCATTTTTTGTGTTTACTTTTAGATAGCTGTAGCAGTCATTTTGATGTTGAATCAGTGCTGGCCCATTGCATAGGCAGTATAGGCAGCATAGGCAGTATAGGCAAATGCTAAGGGAGCTGTCTAGCTACGGGGGCGCCACATACAGTATGGGAAAGAAAAAAGTATATCTTTTTATCAGAGTAAAATTGATTTCGTCTGTAGAAAAGTCCCTCGTTACTCAAGTTTATGAAGGTAATTTGTTCTGTGGGATTCTCAGCTGCTTTGTTATTAGATGAGGTTATATGATGCAGATGGTGTTTCCTGAAAGTATCATATGATGCAGTCAAGACTAACTACTGGTGCTCAGTGTGTTAATACAAAACAGAATAAGGATAATAGAAGTTTCCGTTCTGATCTCAGATAAAGCTCAGGTTAATGTCTGGTTTTCAGTGTTATACCTTCATAAAATTGTGATTTTATATTGTTTAATTAATCCCAAGAATACAGTAAAATGCTCTTCAAATGCCTGGGGAAAATGCATAGTTTTGACTTGATTTTTTACAAAGTTTTCTGGGTTTTACAAAGTCCCCCCACCCCCAGAACTGCTTCAGTCCACAGCTGCTGGTTAACATGAACATTGCTGTCAGTAGATGTTGGCAGGTAGACCTCTGATATTTTGTTTCAAATGAATTATAATTGTAACTATTTTAATTGGTCAAACTGGTTTCTAAAGATAAAAATAATATCAAAAACAAAACCTCATTTTGGGTGTGACTGTAAATTGGTAGTAAAATTTAGAAAACTGCACACGGGGCGCCACATGAAACTTTGCCTAGAGTGCCTAATTGGCTAGGACTGGCCCTAAGTTGAATCCAAAAGTTACTCAGCAGTACACACGCATCCATTGATTACCGTATTTTTCGGACTATAAGCCGCGACTTTTTTTCTGAACTTTGAACCATGCGGCTTATAGTCCGGTGCGGCTTATGCGTGGATTTTTTTTTTCTTCAGCCACCAGGGGGCTCTTATGCTCCATTTGCTTCAACCACTCGCTTAAAAAAAAAAAAAAAAAGCGATCCCTTCCAGAGCCGACTGTTGTACCAGGAAGCAGCGATTTAAAGATAGTCAGTGGCCAAAAACTCACAAAAGGGGATAAAACAGACATTTTTCACGGTGGAATCTGACTGATAAAAACTTTGGAGTTTAATCCAGGACCAGTTTGTGGATAAACATCGAGTGAAGAGCTGCTGACTTTTTTTTCCGGCATTGCACTCTCTGGGGAAGGAATCCCATGCAGTGACGTATGCTGGAGCAGGAGGGCTTTCCCAGCAGCTGGGCTCTGGGTTTCTCAGGGGAACTATGAAAGGTCAGTGCGAAAACAAACGCCAAACAATCACGTGACGGCGCGTCGACCGGTCGACAGCTGAGCGACCGTACTGTCAGCTTAGCCAGAGGTGTAACGCCATTTTGTTTTAGCTAGCAGCAGACACAACATGACGGATCTTCGACAGACACGATATTGGACAGTATGYRGRYMCACATCACGGATTCGGTGAAAGCAGCCATCAAGAAAACAAACTCAATTCCTGCTGTTATTCCTGGAGGTACAACAAAGTTTTTGCAACCCCTGGACATCAG